ATGGTTTTGAGTTCCTTTAAAAGGAACACATGCAACAATAACTTGACATACTATGGTTGAAATCATTGATGGTTCAACAGCTCTTCTCATTCACAGTTCCCACTCTATATCCATCTATTTATACTATCATGCAAATAAATAACAAGATTTGAAGCATCAGTTAATCCATATCTTTTTGGAGAATAGCTTGTCCGTCAGTTAAAACTTGAACAGAGGACCCCAGGAAAGACGCTGTTGCAGTGCATGACGTGGGTGATCGCGTCTGTATCATACTCGTCATTAGACTTGTAACTCTCAAAGAAGCCGTGCAGTTTCTCCACCCTCTCTGGCCAGAGTCCTGCGGCCTGGAGTCCAAGGGACACCCCAAAGTTGGTGAAGCCAAACTTGACTCCTTTATGACCAGGTTCTCGGCAGAAGTAACCCTTGTCCTTGGCAAACAGGCCGCCCTTCTCCACCCACATGGAGTTCAAGGTCGTCTCACTCCTTCAGAGCAGCAGGGAGAAACAGAAAACAATAGTCACTTCTGATCTTATTTTTTTTAAGCAGCTTGGACTTTCGGGTAATTTTTTGAAATAGTAAATTTGATATAACTATGAGGCAGATTTTAGGATGTGGAGGAAGACAATGATTATCATGCTCTTTTAAGTGAGGTGAAAAATTGATCTTCAATGTAAAAAAGCGAATTGCCGCTGAAATTATGAAAATGAAAAAAAAAGTGACCAGTGTTTCCTTCTAAAACGACAACTCTATCGTGGGAGTAGTCCCACAATGACATCAAAAGAAACATGTCATTGAAAGATATTTCAAATCCAGATCATGCATATACAGAATAGCTGAAACATCCCGAAATTGCTGTCTGCTCAGTTGATTAACAATCTAGTCTGACAGAATGGCACAAGCATGCATCATGTTTCAGTCGAAGTGTTGATTTTAAATACTGTATCCTGCCAACACATCTAGCAATTGGCTAATTCCTACATTGATTTGTGATTACTTGTAATTTAATATATATTTTAAATTACTGCCTTGAACAGTCTGTCAACAGTCTTGCAAATTAGCTTTGAACACAACAGCCATCAGAAAACATTATAAGCTCCAAAAAAGCCAATCTTGTACAGCTTGAAAATCTATTCCAACTGTAAAGGAACCAGAGCAATAAACACAAGAATGATGGTGAAAAAACACTATCATGTAAGCATGACCCCAGGAAACAGGCTGTTGCAGTGCATGACATGAGTGATACTCTTGGTATCGTAGTCATCCCCAGACTTGTACGTGTCAAAGAACGCGTGCATCTGAGTGACCCTGTCCGGCCACAGCCCGACAGACTGCAGGCCGTACGACACCCCGAAGTTAGTGAATCCGAACACGATATTCCGTGCGGCTGGGTGGCGGCAGAAGTACCCATGACCCTCCCCTTTCTGCACCCACATGGACGCCAGTGTGGCCTCTGACCTTTGGCGTAAGGTCTTGGCCCATTCCTCATCGGGGAAGAAGTGAGACATCCACAGACACTCGCCCAGGCCCAGATCCTGGGGGCAGGAGAAATAAGTTTTAGTTAATTCAAGAAGCCAGGGAGGGCTAATTTTCTATCATATCCTATGTACATGCTCAGGCCAGGTCCTGTTTATCTTGCCCAATGAGAGGGAAGTCAGCTAGTGAAAACAGTGTCTCCTGATTCCGTATAGCTGGTATAACTGCCCTTTGGGTGTAACACACCAGCTTTTATAGTACGCAAAATACATAGGCAATCCCTGACCAATCACAGTGTTCCCTTGGAAGCAACTGTACATGTCTCCAAGCAAACTCCTGACCAATCACAGTGTTCCTTAGCAACTGTACATGTCTCAAAGGCAACTCCTGACCAATCCCAGCGTTTCCTGGGGCCCCACCTGTGTGCAGCTGAAGCTCTTGTAGTTCTTCATGACCAGCTGCTGCAGGTTGACGATCTCTGCAGACAGTGCAGACGGGTCGAGCAGCCGGTACATCACAAACCCATCATAGAAGTCCAGCCCACCCAGGCCATAACCCTGGAAGTAAAAGGGTTGCGCTTTACCTGTAAGTTACCCTTTTCTGGGCTTTCTATTACCATGGAAATTTGGAGTGTCTACAGAGACCAGAAATTCCAGAAGACCATGGAGCCACAAAGAAACAACTACTACTGTTATATGAGGGACCAGTTGAAATAGAAATATGATAGAACACAAGGGCACATATCAGGAACAGAAAACGTTTAGTAATTCACATGCGGTCAAAGAGACAAATACATCAAAGAGACAAATACATGTATGGACAAACCAAACTATAGGAGAGAGCTTTATAAATTGTGGCCATCCAAGGTACAAGATACACTGCAAAACTAATTGGAGTAGCTTGGTAAACTTTGGCCTTGCAAAGTACGCCAAGTACCCTAAGCTTGTTGTTTCTTCTCTGCCATACATTGTACCAGTTACAGTTGTTGAGCAATACAGTTGATCTGATTTGATTTGTATCTTACAGGGTAAGGCCCTGACAGGTCCTCTAACATCTTCCAGCGAATTCCGACCCCCGGGACATAGAAGGCATGGTGGATGTCCTTGGCTAATTTCACTGCTCGCTCATGGTACTCAGGTTTCACCTGCAGGGGGAGGACACAGGTGTCACTGGGGATGAAGGCTGGCACTGTCTTAAGGAAATACTTCAGCACCTTGGACAGGTACTGGTCATCTATCACATTGGACAGTCATCTGTCAGTTTTGTTTTTCATCACAGTTGATAGTCACCTATGATTCAGCACTAAGGACAGGGATATGTTTAGATGCATTGACCAACATTGCTTTGCAAACCCTGCCAGTTCCATAGACAAAAGTAGAATCAATGTTTGGAAAAACTTATACACAGATTGACAAACACACACCCAAAACATTAATACTTTACTTCTTTGGGTTAGAGTCACAACTACAGTAGTACTGACTATACTACTACCTTGCCCATCTGATGAAGGGCGTACATCCATTTTGTTAGGTAGTGGAAGTACTGTCCGTCTCGGTCTGGCTCCTCACCAATCCGCAGTCCCCGCTGCCGACCCAGAACACGATAAACATCCGCGACTACTGCCTCTGCCTCCTGATGCATGATCAACAACGATTCTCAAATCAGGAGGTATCCAGTAACTCATGAAACTTGGAAACTATAATTATAGCTCATAATTATGGAATGCACTAAACTGTATTGTTACAGCAAAATAGCTGACTTCACATTCCATTCAAAGTCAAAACATACTTCAGGCCACAAGGGTTTGTGTAAGATGCAACTCACGTACACAACAAGGCAAATTTCAGAGATTGCAGACTTCACCGACAGAAATACTTAGTTAAGCATCACTCAGAATGTATGCCAACACTGCATTGGTTACAAGTTGGGAATCGTAGAACAGACAGAGAAGCCAAAAAACACAAAAACAACACTTCACTCCCACGGGTTAAACACTGGCCAGGTGGCCAGGTGGACAGGCCAGGTAGCCTGGCATGGCAGCTCCCAGGTAGCCTGGCATGGCAGGCACCCAGGTTTTTCCGTAAACCCTTACCTGAAGACACTGAGGTTGTTACTTGAAGACACAAGACAATGATACCCACCTGTAGGTACTTCTCCTCCTGTAGTTCCTTGTAGAGCGACACCAGAAGACACACCCCGTGGGCATCTGTCCACAGGTACCGCAGGCCGTTAGGCCAGATGTGCTGCTCTCTCATCCACTGCAGCTTCGCTAGGACCTGAGGGCAAGTTTATGACTTAGACTAGACTTGTGTAAAGCTGTAACAATAACATTGTACTAACATTAAGCATATACTTTTTCACAAACAATGTGAGAGGACCTGCATGCCCTTTTTCGTAAGGCATAATCAGGCCTTTCTAGTCTTCATAATCCGTAGGCAGCCGCCCAAAATATTTGGAATTCCCAGCTTAGCAGAAAGGTTGAGTTGACACACCTTCGGGATATTTTCAGCTGCTGTAGCCATGGGTGACTTGTTTACGATTTCTCTGACTTGTGAAACGATCCCTCAGTTCCTGCTCCCACAGCCTGCATTTATGGATGGTCCCCAACAATAGTCTCTCCTAATTCTCTCATTCCTGCAGGTATGGAACATCAACGTATAATATAGATGTATGATGTACATTTCAATAAAACATCATCAATATATTTAATTTATTTGTTGCGATATTTCTTTCTCCCATAGAGATAAAAAGGTAACATTCGAGAGGTTTACTATCAACTTTGCTTTGTTAACAATTTTTTTTGTTGGAATTTCAGGACCTTCAGGACCTTCAGGACCTTTTTTTCTAATGTAGTTTTGCCACAATATAGTCCCTATAATAGAGTTAAAACGTAATTTTTTATACTCCAAACATCTTTACTAAGTCACATAAATCACGTCTGACAGATGTCATGACGTAACAAACGTGCAAACATGCAGGCAAGAAGGTAAACATCGTCTGGTACAGACCTTGGCCGAGAACACAGCCCAACGTGGATATACCACTACCCACACAGAGATAGGGGTGACTTCTTTTAAAATGTATTGATCTTATCTCAAAATGGAGTTAACGATATATTCTATAATTACAACAAAATATTTAACTTTAATAATACAGTTCAATGTATGTATTTATTTGGTTGATATTTAAAACCAATCTATTATACGTTACAACGTATTTGCCTTTAAAGGATTTCTCCCTTTTTATTAGTGGCAGATTCCCAAGGTCACGACCCCAAAATGGCGACCGAAGATCAATAAACTAGTCGTAACAGATGATTTTGACTCACTATTAGTAGTTTTCTCACGCTGTAGAACGTGTAACTAGCTGAATCTCCTCTCCGCTTGCTGCGCTAGGATCCGTGTTGCTCCTGTCCTTGTTTAACGGCTGTTATTGCGGTAAACTGCGCTTGGTTTGTGTTTCAGAAAGGTGTGCAGCGCAGCCAGTGTTTATGTTTCCGAACCTGCATGCATGTGCATGGCCATGAGTGTGTTTTTCTTTCCATATCGTGATAACTAATTGAATTACCGACCATCTGCCATTCCTTCCACCAGAGTAATTGCATGTAATTTTGATCGTGACTGTCCGCCTGTATTATTTGTGTAGATTTATTGTATATGTTTGTGTACCATCCAGTTTTGCGCAGTTTAATCATTTTCGTCTTTCGAGACCGACTGATCTATATATGACAGAGAGAGTTTATAATGCCAAGTTTATCGTGTTGTGACAGTCTAGACCAGCATGGGGAACCAGCAGGGGAGCCAGGGCGAGCTAGCGGCGGCGGCGGCCGAGTCGTTCGACCCCCGCCTAGAAGCGCTGTTCGCCCGGCTGGCTGAGGAGAAGCCCGGGCAGGACCCCTGCATCACCGAGGAGGGTTTCCGGCAGCTGTTCGGCACGCCGCTACCGGGGTTCGCCTCGGTCATGTTCAACGCCATCGCACCTAACCCTGCATCAGGTCAGAACGTGATTTGTTTGTTTGTTTGGCCTTTATTTATTCGCAAACTACTCGACCTGTTGGCTGCTTTTAATTGAGATCCTGAGGGAATGATATAGAAATTATGTAACAAGATACAAGTTATGAAAACTATACTGCAAACAATTATTGCAATGTATATGTATCATGGTACTGCTGATTACAACTTATAGTGACAAGTCTAAATCTACATGTTTATATTCATTAAGTAAATAGGAACTACATACTTGAGAGTATAATAAACAGAATGCATGGGTTTGTGGTAATATAGTCTCTTTTGCACAAATAGCTATAACTTATAAAGGCAGACTTCCCTTAGTAATTTATTGTCAAAATGGTTACTCTAGTCTTACATGAAAATTGGAACCTGCCATATGGCATGATCTGCCTCGGGGAATCAGACTTATAATGCCTTGAATTCCAATAAATTCCTCGAATGTGAATTCTGATACAGTGTATCTAGAAATTGGCAATCATAGTCAACAATGATATTGATTAGGATTGGCACACTCAGATCAATTAATTTCATGTTTTCTGATAGCAGAAATCTTTATAGAAAGATTTATGGGAGGCAATGATGCCCGTTACTTTTGACAAAGTTGTGACTTTGATAGAGTAGGTTATCTTACAGTCTTATAACCGATTATGAATGATTTATGGGAACAATTGTATGTATTGTAAATTTGTATTCAAATCATGCACAGGTATGTCACATCTGATCATGATCAAAATGACTGTCATTTTACAATGGCAAAATTGTTTATCTTTGTCACCACCAAAGCCTTGATCATAGATCGTTTCAATCCCTTAATAATTTACAATTTATATGCTTCAATAATAATCTGCCCCTGTAACTGCCCAGACCTGCCTCCCATGTCTCATCCCTTGTTTTGTGTAAGGCCCCACTAATGAATTTATCTGTACCTCAAGGGCTTATTTTTTTATTTTAGAACGATTACATCAGTTGAACTGCAAAATCAACATGGAAACTGACTGGAGAAAGCTTATACTTTGCTACACATACACAGTTTTAGGAATTGAATATGTTCAGATCCAAGATTTCTTTCCAGCCCTGAAGTTTCATCTTGTCCGTGCAGAATTTTCACATTAATATTTTATGAGTGAACAAAGAAAATGAACATCACTGTTACTCCCAATAAGCATGCCACTATGCTATCCACAGTACCTGAATGGTAATGGCCACAGAGCTGCTTCAGCATTTATTCTTGACCATTTCTCTCTGTGATAATGACCAGCACTTAAACCCCAGGGTCATTCTTGACCAGGCCTCTGCTAAGTGCCATGGTTTTAACCTATGATCCCCAGCGAGAGATTACAGGATCTGGACGTGTGCCACAGGAAGTTATTCCAGAGAGCAGGGCTCTTAACTCTCAGCCCTGTATGCCACGGCACACTTCCAGGGCAAGCACTGAGAAAGGGTGTAACTCAGTCCATTTAGCAGAGGGTCATTCAAAAATGTGCTTTAGGGCACTGATTTCATGGAAATTTTGCAGCATTTAGGTGCTGAGGGCTTTGTGGACAGTACAGTGGTGTGACTTCTACATGTACATGTTTTTTAACACTACAAATGTGGGGTACAGTATCAAATATACACTGTAGTTAAGGGGATAAAGGCTTTGTGTTTATGACTCACAGTGATCTGAAGTTGTAACTTTAAAATGTCTTCCTTTCTTTGCTTCTAAACTATAGTCTTCTATAGCCTGCTTACCAAACCTCTTTTTAGCTGCTGAGTCACTTTTGTCCTCTCCACAAACAGATTTGCGAAGAGGATGAAAGAGACTTGGAATAATTTGTTGTCTTCTGTAGACTTTGTTCTTAGAATGTCTTCCTTGCCTTAATCATGCCCTTCCTTTGGATGCAGGCAGCCGTAAGTAGTCCTCTCCTCCTGTGTGGTGTGTTTCTGTCCCTCTGTTGCCTCACACATGCTCCAGTTTAAGTTTACAATTCCTGTTTTTGACAAATGCAGAGGAGAGTTTACCGAAACCAAGATGAGTTGCGGTAACTTACTTAAGGACTTATTGCAAATATCTCCGCAATACAACATTCGATTTACTTCAAACACAAACCATTTTGTTCAGTTTAGTGCGCTCTTCCTGTTGATAAACTACACTGTAAATGGCTAATAACAAAACAAAATGTTTATGCAATACCCCTACTATAAGTGTTAATGTTGTGTTGTGGTCAGGTCCTGCCAGTGAAGCAGCACAGTCTTTACAAAAAGGTAACTTACAATAGTGAACAAGGTTCCTGATCAGCAAGATAACACGAAAACAGTTTTTACCTGATCCTGCAGATTTGTCTAATTTTAAATCAGATTGGTCACGTAATACACAGAGTAAAAACAGCTCCAGATACGCATAATTACTAGTATTTCAAAATGTATGCAGTACAACATGTATAAAACAATTGACTTACCGGTAATAAAGCACTGGTATCAATCATATGTCATAAAATATAATGATATCAATTTCAGCTTGTTTCTAGGCATTGCTTGAAATGATTAAAAAAACATTAATCCTACCAATGAAAACTGATCAGGTGTACAGGGACTGTACAAATTTGTACAAAATAAATTCAACGAACCATGAACTGTCTCATAGGAAATTCATGTTCACCGCTCTGATTTTCAAATTTGACATCTCTGCCTTCTAACACTAGTAACAGAAATTGAAGGACCTGATTGTGTAAAAAAATGTTCCTGTTGCCCCATATTGAATGTTGAAAGTCACTGTTTGGTTTCACTTTTTTAGGTAGTGTTGGTCGCCGAGCATTTCTGATCGGAGCTCAGGAAACCCTGAACTTGACCGGGCTGTCGTCTCAGATTAAATACTACCACGATGTGTTCTTTGAGAAGGAAGGAGTGACGGAGGAAGGAGTCAGGTACAGCTAGATGTCTCACAGGTGTAATCAAAATGGGGGTCTTGAAAATAAGACAAATTTTTCTCATAAAGTATAAGCTGCTTCATTAAAACATTTCACAATTACAGAGCTTGTTGATTGTAAGCCGGATGCTAATTTTGACCCTTAACCTTCCACCCCTGACCCACAGGAACATGGTGCATACAGCCTACACCCTCTGTTTGACCTCAATGAACCTTGACCCTGAGACTCTCAAGGGGGACACCAGTATCCTGGATTCCCTGGCCACAAGTATCATGAAGGCGTGCAGCAAACACACTGGGCAGGAGCTCCAGTTTGTGATCCAGTCCCACTACCTCCACCTGTTCTCAGGTCTGCATACCTACGTACAGAAGACTCTGCTGGGGGCACAGGAAGGTAAGAAAGGTGCCTGCAGGTATTGCACACACCCAATCCATGTGTGGATAGTTTTTTTGCCACCATAGTATCTTTTATTTATTCTTCATTTCAGACCAGTGGCCCATACCAGTATTAAAAGCAAAACAGCATCATAGCATATTAAACAGAAATTTACAAACTGTACATCTGCTTGGGATCTGCTTGGAGATTATACCAAGTGAACACAGATGAACTTCTTCTATTTATTTTAGAAAATGCTTAGTTTAACTTGGAAACAGCACTTAAGTCGGTTATCATATTTGTTTTTAAAGTAAAATGTTGAACTTTATTCAAACTCAAATTTTCAACAACCACTGTTTATATATTTTTTGTTGTGAGACCATGTAAATGCATGTTTTTCCAGGTCCCAATGAAGAGCTTGTAACAGCAGTACAGCAGAGATTTGCTGACAGTATGATCGACCTCCCCATGGCCTGGGTGTTGTCTTGTATCCTACCCATCCGATATACAAAGAACCGGGCAGAGGTGAGACTTATCACAGACGCTTAACACAGAATAACCAGAACTGGTTGGGTTTTTAACATCAGAACTACTTATTTTACTTCAAAGCAAGACATGTAAGACTAAGGGCAATAGTGCTGTCAAGAAGAAATAGATGGTTTTGAAGCGTAAACAAACAACATTTTCTGTCCTTCTAGCTGGCAGAGCAAAGTAAGCTTCCGAAGTGGCTTCAGTGGAGTCAGCTGTACAGCAGCCAAAAAGATGGACAGAGTCTGACCAGGTAGGCACTGTCAAAACTTCTTCCCAAGCTCAAACAAACAAACAAAAGAACTTAGTCTGTAGGAAATTTGTCTCTTAAGGATACAACACCTGGTCAGGTCTCCTTGGAGGGTCCTACCTAATACTGTATGGTATTACAGGTACACCCCTCCTGCGCATGCCCCAGGTATGAATGCTTTGTGTTTTAACATACTTTCAGGTTTGAGCACCATGTGTTCTCCTACAAGGACCCTACTATCCTGCTCATCAGCTGTACAGGAGGGTTCACCTTCTGCATCGCTGTGGACACAGAGTGGAGGGAGAGCACTGCGGTGAGACAGAAAGATCTTTAAAATTTTGCATTTTTTTTTCAAATTACATGTTTGCCAACATGCAATACTGCATGGGTTTATAGGTCCAGACTTATAAGTGTTTTCTGAAGGTGTTTGCAAATTGCAGATTGAACAAAATTTTGACATTCTACAATATTGCAGAACACAGAAAAAAGAGTATTTCTACCACTGACATTGGATGGATGGATTGATGGGTAGATAGAACCTATCTATGCCCTGTTGTTTCCCAGGCATGGGGAGGGCTGGACTGTCTCCTGCTGCAGCTGACCCCCGAGGTGTGGGTACTGGAGGAGGGGGAGGGGATGATGTTTGTTAACCACCACGCACGCACCGTCAAGAATGGGATCTACTTCGGACGCAACTTCGACAACCCACTACTGAGCCTGCAGAGTCTGGACTCCATACAGACCTCCGAGGGGGAGTTTGCCATCACCAATGTCGAGGTTTGTTTCAAATTGCTTGTTTGGCATAACCAGTGACAAATCTAGGTTTTTTTTCTTTAATTCAGGTACAAGCTGTGCAAGACCAGGCTGATAGGGACAGATCCATGCATTCAACCATTTTGAAGGGAATATGGTCGCATATATGCTGTTTATGGGCTTATAAGACATGATTATGTAAATCCTTTATGTGTGTATGACATAACCTTCAAGTTGGTTCCCTTGGGAGATGAGTCTTGTTTCCTAATCTTATGTTCCTTCAGGTGTGTGTGAAGTACACTAAGACTTGTGTTCCTTCTGGTCTGGGGCTGTGGAGATGATCATCTTATTTCCTAATCTTATGTCCCTTCTGTTGTGATCCTGTAGGTGTGGGGCTGTGGGGATGAGGGTGCCCTGAAGGAGCAGCAGCGCTGGCGGGACTGGGAGCATCGCCAGGCTGAGAAGACACAGAAGGTGAAACGTCCGGGCAGAGACGACTGGCAGGACAACCCCGACAAGTTCCTCCTCGACATGGTCGGTGTGGAAACCGAGCATCCGCAGGAGCGGCCCGGGATGTAGGCTGCAGTACCTGGGGAGTGGGACAGGGGGATGGATGCAGATGCTGTAGTACTGGTGATGTCAGCATGGTGGCAAGGATGATATAGCTCCAAATGATTCTGGTCACTTTGAATATGTGAACTTCAAAAGTCATTTTTGTTGGAAGCAAAACCTTTTAATTTACATTATATCGCTTAACCTTTAGTAGACTGAAGTAGCCGTTTTGCTACCAATTCTCTACTGGTTATCAAGGCTTACATAACATTTGAAAGATTGTATGTTTTCTTCAATGATATGATAGCTTTATGATATGATAAATGTACTTACAAGGAAGGTGTGCATCTTTAAAATGTCAGACTCAGATATTTAAAATTTCTGGCATCTTTCCATTGAAGTTGAAGTGACCTGTGTTGATGACTGATATCAACTCCAGAGGTGCAATACTTAAAAAGATATATCATGGTGATAAAAGAGAAGGATCATAGAAGATTTAGAAATTAGAAAGGCAAACCTTTATCTTTAAAAAAGCTTGTTACTAATAGATGTAAGACTAAAATAAAGATTCTATGTGCTTAATAGTATATATTAGCTTTATACCTCCAAAATCTAAGCTAATAGTGTAATATGATAGGTGCTAAGAAGTGTAGAGAATTGTTCCACTGCTGATGGAGTTATTCTATCTGCAAGTGATGTCAGTAGGCATGGCAGATTACTCATTCCTGAACAAAGACAGGTGCTGAACATTCGTTAATTCCAGTAAGTCCAGAATTTTCTCAGTAGTGTTGGAAATGACAGCTTCGGGATACAATGTAGTGTTAGTGACAGCTAGTAGTTCAGAAGGTAGTGGCAAGATCTAAAGTACAAATTTTTTTATTGTTCAGCCATTCTCAAGACTTGGTGACATTTCTTGCCAATGCCAAGGGCATGCATAGATAGAGGAGAAGGAAGATACTGTTGGCAGGTACATGTATGTACAGTCGTGTACTTTTCCATCTGTTGGGTGTAAGTGTATAACCTTTAAAGGTGAAGGTTTAAAATGCTTTGTTTTGTTGTAAGCTAAATGCGCCCAAACATAATTATTAACTTTTAGTTTAGATGAATACAGGGCTAGAACAAGTTAAGCATATTATGTTCATGGTAGATTTATATACGTGATATGGTGCTGAGCTTATAGTGAGGGATACAGATTGTAGAACCAGTCAAAATATTGTTAAAAGATGGCCAGTAAATCGAAGAATATGTACCATGTAATGGGCTCATATTCATTGTTACTAGTATAATGTTTACATTTGCACTTCGATCTGAGGAATTGTGTACAACACATCACTTTACATGCAGTATGCACGTCAATGAATTCTGAAAGTCTGCTTCTACATTTTTTCCTTTTTCTCGCATGTACATGGAATGTATGCTAAGAGTAAGACATGGTACTACATTATGAAACCAGTTTCCAAAGAAATGAAAGAAAGCCATCTCCAAAATTGGTTGTATTTTTTAAATGTATCCTTAAGTTTATTATATTAATGCTATTCCTACTCATTCCTTCTGGATCTAAAATTCAGCAATAAAAGGAACTGCAAAACTTCTGAACATTGGTGACAACTTAATTCCTGAGTATCTGTTTGGATGTACAAATGTAGAGTGGTTGTGTGACTGAATGTACATCTGTATGTGGGTTGAGGTGTATGAAGGGAAAGGGATAGTACAGTATAGTACAGGGTGGTGGACGGTTCTTCAGCACCAAGGAAAGGGATAGTACAGGTAGTACAGAGTGGGGATGGTCCTTCAGCACCAAGGAGATGTTTTTGGTGAAAAAGTACACTTGTTTTCTAACACATAATCATATGGAGCTGCTTATCAAACTCGGTACAAAGGTGCTTTAATAACTACTGAACACAATGGAAGAAATATAACAAGTTTTCAAATTAATTTTGTAAAAGTCTATCTAATATCTAGTATATAATCATATGATATATCTAAACTGAAACATATGATAGCATTAATTTTTGAATCACTACATGGTGAGGAATTTATCTTTAACATCTTTCACTTAAGAACAGAAATATGAAATATATACAGGGTTATACAACTTTTGTAAACAATTTGAAACAGTGAACAGCTAAAATCAGTAAACTGCTTTACGTATCATTCTAAACATGGGAACTTCAACTTAAGACAAATGGGCACTAAATGTAGCAATTAGTACATATCTGTTACAAGTTGTACACATGGACACATCCCTGTGATGTCCCCAAACAGAGAAGGTTTTTGTCCACAGTAAGACAGGAAGGCTTCCTGCTGCTGGCTTTTAAAACTGAACCCATCCTGGAGCTAAAAACATCCCACACATGCACCTCTCCACTCTCCTGTAGAACAAACAGTCTGGAGCCAGCCAGGCATCCCTGGACACACCTGAAGCAAGGCAACACACCTGCTGATTAGTGTTTTTTTTTTATAATCTAGTACCAACACAGAATCTCTGTTAGCTAATAACAGTTCTGATTCAATTTCTGAAGATTGAAACTCAAGTAAGATTTGTAATTAGTTTCCTTTCAAATTCCACTTGAACTTGTGTTGTACAATTTTTTTTTGCACCTAAATGTTTAGGTTAGATGTACCTATTCCCAGATAAAAAGTGAAGCCCTGTCACTAAGCTTCCCTGTGGCTCCCAGCTAACACGTACCTCTCCAGACTGCTCCCCTGTGGCAGACTGTACTTCTGGAGGGACAGACTGTAGCCAGTTCCAGGGTTGATGGAGACAAGAGAGCAGGCTGTCTGGAGCTGCTGTTCTGCAGTACTACTCAGCAGTGTGAAGAGAAGGCCCTGTAAGGAGGGAACTCACATGTTAGTCTCATGTTTCCTCTCACTTTTGACACACTCACAATGATGCAGTTTCTGAAAGTTGTGCAGAAGTCAGACAGTGTGTCTGATACCCAACTGCCAGGTAAAAATTTGTATGATGAGTGGACTCTTTGTGTTGGGTGTACTGTAAATGCTTTGTTTTTATAAGTTTCATCAAGTTGATAGGTACAATGGCAGCCAGACTTACGGTACTTTACTTATTACTTGTACTTTATAGTCTAGTAATAACGTGGTAGTACACGCATGTATGTTTCCAACAGATAGGTAAATGACTTACCTGGTCTGCTGCAGCATACAGGCAGGTGGGCTGTACACCTGGCAGATCTACACACCTGAGCAGCACACCTGAGGTATGGTTCCTACAGGTGAGGAAAGTACACACAGCTCTTGAGATAGAAATAGAATTCTAACTGCTGATCAATCACTACTTTCTTACCCTACTGTATGCTGCTTTGGCTCTACCAGTTTAACAAGCTGGTTCTGAAATTAAAAGCTGAACTGAACAAATCAGGACTTGTAAAGTAATTCTTAACAAGAAATGGAAAACATTATATTTCCAAATGTAGTTCAAGGCCAGTTCTTAAAACTGGACCTACCATAGAAGGACTTGGTTTTTGCTGGTTCCTAGCAGACAGCCCTCACACCCCTCCACCTGACATAGTGAGCTGATCCACAAGACAGCTGGCATCGCTAGTCTGGTCTGCTCGTCCATATGTCTGTAAAGTCAATAGTGACAGTAAACTGGTTAATCAGGTCAACTCAAAGCATAGCACTTCAAACAATGGGAATAGCTTTTTCATCAGCTACAACAACACTGCTATGTGCCTGTTCCAGCTCCTATTTTCAGCCAAGCACACTGGGTCATATTTTCGATAAGTGCGCTGGTTTCCTCTTACAGGCAGAAGTTAAATTTGATGCTTGTCAGTGTCACCATACACAGGATTGACAGCTTAATGCAAAAAGAGTCCAAGTGTGGCATTATGCATCCCACATAGTAGAAAGCAGAAATACAAGCTACTTTGATCCCTGTGTTATCTACATTTGTACCAGCTTTCATTCTAAATCCTCAAAGCCCTCACCCATCTCTGCCGCTGAAGCTAAGTTTGCACACACTGGATCCTCCCTGGCACATCCCTGTTGCTATGGCAACACCCCCTGGTAGAACTTTTGCCATGGCATGGTAGTCTGTGTTCCTGTCTCCATGGCAACCGTCTCTGTCCTGGGCCTGGTATCCTGACCAATTGTGGTCCAGGCTGGAGGAAGAAGAGGCTCCATCTGTGTAGAATAGTCTGTAACAGAGAAGTCACAGTTAGCAGGGACAGTAGAGGCAGTGTAAATGTGAACATGTATATATATATATTATTAATACATTATGTACTGTCCAAAGTGAGGATGATAAAGTTTCAGACCAGAAAAAAATAAATGTACTTGTGCATTTATTCTGGAGCTGAAAACACACACATGTAAATTTTATGTCTAATATCATGGCTCCTCCGGGTTCAACCAATCTGTTTAATGATTGTGACTTTACATGAAAACAAAATAGTGCCAGAATATATTGAAATGTTGTGTAACAACAATGTATGACACAGACTCCAGTGAAAATACAGTCCAACACCAAAAAACAGAATTTGCCTACTTGAGATGGCCTGATGGGAAGTTTCCTCCAACCAGGACCTGAACTCCGACCTCACATGACAGCAGGCAAACATCACAGACCTCCTCCTCCTGAAGATTACATCAACATAACAGACGATTTTCTCTTGGATTACTACATATTACATTTATGTTATCTTCATGTAACAAGAAAAGTGGTAAGCCAGGCTATTTCAAATCCTGAAGGGAATTTACACTTTGCAGTCTGTACCTTGGTACACAGTTTCAGAGAGTGAATATACCAGCTAGTCAGACTTTCCTTCTATCCCTGTTTTCATCTTGAACTGTTGCCAAATTTAAACTTTTATGACAAAGTATACCCCCTCACAAATGAAAGAAAAGCGTGTAAAGTGGTGTGGCTTAAGGTTGCCTTCAGTGTCTGCTGCCATGGTAGACAGGGACTTGTAGAGAGAAAGGGTAGACATACTCTCATCTGCCGAATAAACATACGGGTACGTTTATTTTTTTGGGCCCTAACATCCACCCAGTACGTTCTTATTTTGCACAGTACGTTTATTAATTTTTTGAAAACCAGTAATTTTTTTCAACTTCGTGTGAAAAAAATTGACAAATCATCGACGTGAAGACGTTTATAAACGCGTACTGTACCGAGAAACTTGTCATTTTCGGGCCGGTTTTTGCAATCACCGCGTGCATAAATTCGTCTGAATGTTCTATTGTCATGGGTGGTGCTTATCAAAATACGAAATATTAAATGCCCCTTTTTTTGTCTATTTCAATTCCTAATTGCAAATAACAGTTAAAGATTTGTGCATATATCAGTAAGGGCGCATTTTAGTACAAGAGACACAGGTTACCCGTCAATTTTGGTAATTTTCCGGGGGGTACGTTTATTCCGGGGGTATGTTTATTTGATTTTGAAGATTTGTCCGGGGGGTACGTTTATTCCGGGGGGTATGTTTATTCGGCAGATGAGAGTACTCTGCGCAACATTTCCAACAGAACATTGCTGTACCTTGTCTATGTCCCAACATGCTCCAGGGGTCCAGTCCTGTTCCTGCTGTACCCAAAGTGTGAGCTGTGTTTTCTGACACACAGCCAACACTGGAATTGTCTCATCCTGGAGGGTGGCTTCACCCAGCACCATGGAAACAACTGCTTCATCTGTCAGCTGGAATACAAGAAATGTTCACAATCTTATCAGTTAACACATTGTCTTCCTTGCTACAGTATGTCATACTATTACTAAGAGTAAAACTTCCATTCTGAATGGATCTGAATATACTGGTACTGGTGCAGGATTTAATACATTGGATTCCCCATTTTAAGTAACACATCAATATCCAATTCTGGACTGCAAGGATTTTATTTTATAAAGTACATGTATACTAGACTAGATACATGATGTCACCTTAAAATTATAACTTCAAGCTACTTCGACATTTAAGACTACATCAACCAGCTCTATAAGACACATCCTGATTTCTACCAAGTTTCTCAAAGACTTTTGAAGAAGACTTTACCTGAAGACATGCTGAGAACTCCGGCAGGGTTGTGGTCACATCTTCTCCTGTTCCTTCCACACCTGTCCTCATTAGGACCTCCTCGTGTCCACTCAGTACAGGTGTTTCTTCTACACCTGTCCCTTGTGAGTCCTCACTATGACCTTGTACAGGTGTGACACTTATGCTAACAGGTTCTGTCTCTACTATGTTTCTTTCACTGTCTCCTACACCTGTGATGTCCACACCAGAGCCTATGACGTTCAGAGTTTCCAAGGAAGACACAGGCTGCTTGTGGTCAGCAGAAGGAACTAGTGCTGTGTTTGTACTTTCTTCTCCACTCTTGTCAGTCACCCCGCCAAGTGATTCTTCAGGTTCCTGAGTTTCAGAGTCTGTACCCTCATTCTTGTTGTTCCTCAATAAACTAAGCCGGGTAGAAGTATTTTCCTGTGCCAACTCGTATGTTTTCTGTTGCTGTTTATTTTCTACATCTTCAAGGTCAGAATCTTTCTTGACTGACGTGTCCTTATCTTTGGAGGAATGTTCAGACCTAGTACTGCTGGGTGGCAGATTAGTCTTTGCTTTGCAGCTTTGCTCATTGTATCTCCCATGTCCTGAGGTACTACGACAGCTGCTTGTTGCTGCTGCAGGTCGTGGACTGGACTTAACTTTGTTCAGTTTCAGTTTTACATACTCAGAACCAACAAGTGAGAAGTCTAACACTTCCTTTGTGCACTTCTTGTGCAACATAGGTGAGAGGTAGGGGAACACACTTTGCTTCTTTTCTTGACCAAGTTCTGTCTTAGAAATGTCCTTGGGAGTATTCCTTATGTCAGGAGAAAGGCTAGGTTTTACATTGAAACTCTGGTTGCTTCTTGACAATGCTTCTGAGAGTCTTGGAATAGAGGGAGCAATTTCTTGAACCTCTTTGTCTGAGGACACACATTGTACATCTTTGGGATCAGTTTCATTGGAGTGCCTACTCCTGCAGTTTCTGCCCAAATCATTAGATGGAGCTTCCCTGGCTTTTGCCACCTTTAGTGTCCCATAATCAGAGTAAGGCAGATGAAACTCACTCATCACTTCGGAGTTCTTCAGTTTTTCAACCAGCTGATCAGTAAGTACAGGGAAAATCTGTCTCTTTTTGTCAACTTCAGCATCTGTCTTGCAATTGCTGTCTTGAATTTTACTAAGAGACTTCTCACTTTCTTCTGGTACTTTCACAACTTGAGCTTCTTTCAGAACCTTGTGGTTTTGTTTTGGGGTACTTAGAGAGGCGTTGGTTTGTGTTTCTTGGCTGCATCTGTCAGCTAATCTTTGAGATCTCCTGAAAAACACCTGCTTCTCCAAACTTCCTTGGCTCAAGACACCTTGGGGCCAGTCTTGTGGGCTCACATTTCCTTCTCCTAGAACACCTGGGGATCCATCAGACTGCACAGGTGAGTTCTGACAGGATCTTGTCGCCTTCCTCCTCACCAGTCTCCTTAACCCTGAACCTTGCACAGGTGTGTTATGGGAGGACAACGCCTTCCTGCCTTTCCTCAAGACATGCAGCTTGTCTTGGACTGCATCTTCACTGAGCAAGTCTTTGGGAATAGTTAGACATTTCTGGGCATGTACAAGTGGGCTGTACTGAGTGTCTGGAATGACACTGTCTTGAGAATCAGCATCTGCAGACACCTGACCCTCACCTGGAATTGAAAGCACCTGTTTACCTGTAGACAGGTGCTTCTCACCTGGAGTTGCATGCACCTGTTCACCTGTAGACAGGTGATTCTCACCTGAAGTTATGTATACCTGTTCACCTGAAGACTGCAAAGTTTCTCTGTCTCTTCTTGAGATGTTTTTAGATAAGGAAGCATTAGACAACCCAGGTGACGACTTTTGCATCTTCTCGTCTGCCTTTGACAAAGTCTTGAGATCCTCAACCACCCTTAAGGATACATCATTGTCCTTTGCTACCTTATCTCCATAACGAGACAACTCCTCACCTAAAGACGTTGTGTCATCATTTCTCATCTCATTGAGCCTAGCCTGTTTACTTCCACATGAACCTTCTGAAGTGTCTTGACTGTTGGTACCCAACTTCCTTTTCTGCTTCCTCTGTCTCCTAGCCCTCACCTGTCTAGCGACACCCTCTGGTGTCCTGCCCTGGCGCTGCATCCCCCTGGTGGTACGGACGTAATACTCTGCAGGAAACATCAGGCCGTCCACCCACATGTTGTCATCCAAACTTTCCTGGCTCGGAGCCACAACCTGACTGTTCTCTTCTGTATGGAGCTTTTCCTGGCCTGAACATAACTCTGCAGAGACATCTGAAACGTCATTGTTGAGCCCAGGTTGTGGCCCTGGAATCTGATCTGAAATGTCCCTCCTTGATGCACAAATCCCTGAAACTTGCTCTAAGTTCTCACCCTGTATCACTTGTTTTGATGAGCCTTTAAACAATGGCTTCTTGTTCCTGCTGTCTGGTGAATTACTCTGCTCAGTGTTGCCTAAATGCAGTATGTTTAGCTCTTTCTGTCTTTGCTCATCAAGATCTTGTTCACAAGGGGCTTCTTTTGGGCATGACAAAGTCTTCCCCAAGCCAAGAGTCTCACATTCAGAACTTTCTTCAAGATTTGTGACATTTTGCTTGTGCTTATCGTAGTCATCACAACCACCCTTGTCATTGGTGAGGTTTGAGCTTTGTTTGTTATTTTCTTCAGAACAAAGACTACCTGTTTTAGGGGGTGCTGGTAGAGTATTTTCCACTGCACCATCCTCAGTTGCAAGGACAGTGCAACTTTCTTGCTGAAGGCTTTGACCTGTAGAAACAACATCCAAGGAAAAGGAAACAGTCTTCCTACTCTGGAAATCCACAACAGAGTGGTCATGTCTGGATGGTGGATCACCTCTACTTTCGCAAACAGACACCTTCTTATGGTCCCCATCTCTGTCACAGTCCCGTTGTTGTAAGGGAGATGCTGTGTGAGAAGCGCCCCCTGTCTCTGAGGACTGTTCCTGCAGTCTTTGCCTGACATGCTGTTTGGCTTGAGCAGCTCGATCCAGCTTCTATGAATGGACAGTGAATGAATTCGTATTTCATACATTACGATTACTGTCTACTGCTTACTAAGTTATTCAAACAGCACACTTTCCTGGATGTAATCTGGATTTAGATATCACACACAAACATTATCATACAAATGCATGTGCATGCCCCCCCCCCACACACACACAGACACAAACTCACACACACGTTATACAAACACAAATAGTGACATATAAACACAGACATATATAAACACACCAACATACAATGTGTGAAGCTAGCAAAATTTGAGCACCTACAAGTAACGGATCAACATGTACCTCTTCTTGGGTGTCTAAGATGTTCATAAACATGTAATTTGCCACAATTAGGCCAAACTTGTTTACATAACAACAGCAAGAACGCACAAGTGATGACCTCACCTCCAATTTTCTGCGTTTCCTGGCCCACTCCCGCCGCAGTTTCTCATACTGCTTCTTCAACTGTCACAGAAAATATACAAGATAGCATGAGATGCTCTTGTCTTCACAGAAATCTACAGTAGAATACTGTAAATTCATTTATTTTCACCATGGAGGTTATTTTCATAGGGACTTTAATTATTTCACAAATAGTACTGGAAGGAAGGTTCGCATCTGAAACAATCCTGTAAATTATCTCGCAAAAAAACAAAACCGCGCATATTTTAAGATTTACAAAACAGAAAACAGGAAAACAGAAAGATGTTGTTTGTGCGCACGATCTCATCTGGTTTTTGCTAAGACAGAAAATGTTGCCTACCCGTCCCAGTTCCGCCTCAGAAAGACTGGAAGCGTCTCCGCTGTGTGCTAGAAGCTGTTTCACGTCCATCTGGTCGCCATTCTCAGGCATTTTCCCTCAGGATTGGAGAAAACTGACGGAATTTCGTGAGGCGGGGAAAATCAGACGTCAAAACTAGGCGCCACTGTGTGCCCTCTGACCTTTCCATATCCGGTAAGAAATATAGTGCGCTATTCAGAACAAAATTCAATTTTATTTTGTTGTTAATGAATCTAGGAAAAAACTGACGTGATGCAAAAGTGTTTCAATATATTTTGATTCGATAATATGTATGAGTTTTAATTAACGATATGCGCTTACAGCTTCACAATTTTTAGCGTATTTTTAAAGAGCGAATATCGAGTCATCTTTACTGCAACAGTGTACAATCCGGAAGCGGCCCAGAAATGGAGTTGGGCGATATTTTCTACAACAAAGCGGAGTATATCGAGACTGTGAGTGTTGTTGTCGTACATATGTAAAGCAGATATCTCATAAATATCTGTGGATGCAGTTGAACGTTTCGTCGACTCCAAATTTTGACGAAAACGGGACAATTTTGGCGGGTAGAAGTACACACCCATCGCCCCCCTCCCCACGTCAAAACTGTAGATATACTTCAGGTCCTAAAAAATTACAAATCACGTTAAAGGCCTAGTAAACAAGTCACTTGTAGTCTTTACATGGGCGTAACACGCAAGTTTTACAGACATGACGCAATGGCAGTGGTGGATATGCTTCTGGTACATGAAGGAACTTGCAATTAACAACCTGAAGGAATTTGATAACAAATTTATGTGTAAAAGTAACTGTTCATTTTTCACAGGCTTCCGGGAACAAAGTCAGCCGGCAGTCCGTCCTGTGTGGCAGTCAAAACATCGTCCTCAATGGGAAGGTTAGACTATAGATATTTGTTTGTTTGTACTTTATATTAGAGACTAAGTCTTCATGAGTACATCATGCACATGATCAATGATGATGTTAACCACTAGATGATAGGTGGTTTCTTTCTATAGTTGAAGGCAGTGTGAGTTAGATCGCATCTGTTTATTCCTACACCAATAGACAGTCATACAGAGTGATTGCATCATCCGTGGTGACCTGGCCAACGTGAGGATTGGACGACACTGTGTGATTGCCAGCCGCTCTGTCATCAGACCGCCCTTCAAGAAGTTCAGTAAGGGGTGAGTAGGAGTAACTTATAGTAGCACTGTTCAGTCAGCAAAGTTCATAGCAAAACAAAATTCTAAACAGGATATACCTGGGATTTTCTCTTACACAACCAGCAGAAAATTATGTTTCCTCAGAGCTTCTGACTGGAGTTCAGCTTCTTGCTGTTATATGTAGCCAATGTCAAAAGTTCTGAGGAAGGTGTCTGATACTGTGATAGATACTGAAACATAAGCATTAGGTACATGTGTAAGAGACACTACTGGATGCGTAAAACTACTGAAAGAAAATGCCTATATCCTATTTCCTACCAACCTGATGAAACTATTTTCGGAATAGGTTCCTCAGGTTGGTACAGTTCATATGTAAATCTGGATGAAAAATTTCTTTGAATACAACCAGTATATGGTCACCTGCTAATGTTTTGATGACTTTCTGTCACCTTCCTTCAGGGCAATACTGACTTGTTGTACCTCACTCTGCAGCTAGGTGTCACTGCTGCACAGCAGTGAAAAATCTGACATGTAAAAAGGCCTCGGGACTTCCTTTCAGTTTGAGCCTCCTGGAATTGTCTAGTTAGGCAGAAATTACCTGTTCTGTAGTTTGCTGTGTCCGTGTACCAGTTTGGCAATTCTGAACAACAGTATTGTACCAGATATAGTAAAAAAGTAAACCAGTGCAAATTTACTTACCAAATTTTGACAATTTCCAATGCAGTTCAGACAAAGCCAGTCCCTGTATTGAAGACTTTGTTCCAAACAGCCAGCAGTTATGGGAAAATTGCTCATTTCAATGAAGACTTAGATGTTCTTTGGTGAATTTGTCTTGAAAGGGCAAGCAATGTCTTTGTTAAATGCTTGCTTTCATCTCTGTTTTTCTGTTTTGAACTCTGTATTTCTGTAAGATAAAATCAGTTTAGGAAAACTGAGGCATCCCTTAAGGTATTGGCTTTGAAGATGAATCATAATTAAGAGAAAAAAGAAACTGAAAAATGTTCCATTACATCAAAGCTTCCTTGTCTCAAACAAAGGAAAAACATGACTGATAAAGATTTTCCATTACAAGTACTGTATTTATTTATTTATTTATTTATTTATTCATCTTAAGGACGTATGGGTTGTCCCTTCAGCCCCAAGGGGCTGATTTCCAAGGGAGCCCAATTACAATGACAAATAACTTATAAAATACAAAAAGTAATATAACATAAATAAATTAACATAAATTATATAAAAATACAATAATAATCGATGGTCATTATGGTCATTATGGAGGTCAGAGGTCAAAATTCCAACTTAGGAGATAATAAAACATATGATAACTGAGAGGTCAAAATTCAAACTTAGGAAATAATAAAACATATGATAATAACTGAACGTAGAAGTAATGAATCATATAAACAAATCAATCAAAGTAATGAAACGTAACAAATCATCGTTGTCAGTAAATCGTCATTAGGTAATCAGGTGTCAGATCGGTTCAGTTTTCAACCTGTCTTTAAAAGCT